CGTGTAGAAACTTGCTCTCGCGTTTCAACGTGTGCATCCTAGTGTCGGCCGCCAGACGACACTGCAGCTCAAGCATGGCTCGTGTCACGACGCCTAGCCGGCCTTCATCATTCAGGGAGAGGACCAGCGCGCGAGCTGCCATGCGCACATAGATCGGTAGCAGGGACCCAACGCCGAGTCCATATTGTTCCACCGGTAGCAGCACGGCGCGTGTGGGAAAACTGGTGGGCAAGCGGTAGCAGCGTCGGGCTGCGCGTGCGATCATCGCATCCAAAAGTCTGATATCATTAGGAGTGTATGCCATGGTGGAGAAGCTGTATGACACTACCGCTTGTATACAAGTCTGTATGATTCTGATACATTGGTCCGGCGATGCTAGGGATCCCTGAAGTAGGTCGCCCTTGTCCCTCACCGCCTTGCAGACGTGGGACATCTGTGCGCTCCAGTTGAGGGTCAGCGTTACGTGGACCCCAAGGTACTTGTAGGGTTCCGTGGGGGGTAGGTACGGCACTGACTGGCCGCTGATTTTGATTTTTTCATCCAAGGCTGCCTTGAGGGTGCGTGCACACGTGGGTCCGTTCAGACCTCGGTCGGCCCATGCCCTGTGGTGCAGGATGCCCGTCACTGCGCATTTTTTGTGATTCACGTGTAGGCCCGCCCATTTCGAGTACAAGCTGATCTTGTCGCATTGTATTTGTAGGTCTTGTGCGCTGTTGGTCATCACGGCGAGGTCGTCGGCGTAAGCGGCTGAGCTTCCATGGTACCTGGCGTTCAGGCTGTCGGGGAGGCAGCCGTACTTGTACCCTCGTCCGCCAGCGTGGAGCCATCGGAGGAGTGGTTCGAGGAAAATAATGAATAGCACCGGCGAGAGCCTGTCCCCCTGTACTGTGCCTCGTTCGATCATTATTGGCGCTGTGAGGCCGTGTTCTGTCCGTATAGTGGTCCGCGCTTGGCTGTACAGATCCCGTACGACATAGATGAGGTCCTCGGGTAGCCCTAGGTCGTACATGATCTGTAGCAGCAGGTCGTGGTTGATGGTGTTGAATGCCGAGGAGAAGTCGACGTATAACAGGTAGAGATCTTTGCGTGTGAGCCCAGCATCCTCAATGACGTGGAGCAGGTTTTGGATTTGCCGTTCCGTGTTTCTGTACCGGAGGAACCCTTCTTGCGCCTCGCTAAACAACGCGAGTTCGGGAGCGACGTCCCCGATGGACACTGTGACGAGGCTAGTCCATAACTTATAAAGAGTGTTGGCGAGGGCAATGGGTCGCTTGTTGTTCAGGAGGAGCGCATCTCCTGCTTTTGGTAAAAGGACCGTAACGGATTCAGTCCATTGCTTTGGCG